TTCCCGGTGAAAGCGCTTACATCCTTGTTCGCTGTGAATGCTGGGGAATGTCACGGCGCTGGGTGTGGGGAGGCGTTAGCCTGTTTCTCACCAGTTGTTGTCGCTTATCCCGCTTGACAATTGGTGGAGAATGGTCTGGCGCCACGCCACAGGTCCCCTCAGCGAACAACACTGTAACTGAGCCCCTAACGGCACTTTAACTTCCGTATCGGTCACCTACTGTCAGTGATCACTTTAAGGGAGCGTTCATACTTCGCGATTACAGCCGCGATCGCGGGTTTGCTAACGTTCGCGAAGTTTGAATGCCGCTGAAAGGGGTCTTGGAAGCCTTGGATGACGATGGGTTAATGAGAAAGAGAACAACCAAACTGTTAGTTAGATATCTGACAACTGTGACAAATGAATGATACAATACTCTGAATTCCAAATTATCAAAACTGATATATTCTTCGGTTGGGACCATGTCCCACGCAGTCATAACTTCGAAAAGGAGACATAACGGCTCATGGATAGCACTAACCTTTGGACTTTCCCTCGGGCGAGTTGGCGAAACTGACCGCTTCTTTAAGTGTCATGAAAACATTCCGTGGAGATTTTGCTATATCTGCAGGGTAGTACACAGCGTAAACAGGGGAAGCCACGTTCTCCCCCATATCCTATCCTGAAAGTGTAAAATGAAAATTTTGAGAAGCGAGAGAAGAATTCAAAGACTGTGCGGCTAATATAAAATACACATCGAATAACATCTAAATACAGAATAACAAGGAATGTGTATCCTCGAAAACATCGACAGCCAAACCCTAGCACGAAGAGACAGTGGAGTATTCTTAGCATGCTTCATATACTTAATCAAATTCATCATCAAAACCACGAAACCCTCCACCTCCCCCTCAGCAGGGTTCAAAACCAAGTTGAAGAAAGTTGTAAACTTCACATCAGTTTAAAAAAATAAAACTCAACACAGCACGTCAGCAACTCATAACTGCAGTTCTCTATTATTGGCAGGTTTCGAAATTTTCGAAAAAAGTGAATTAAACACCCGAACTCTCGCGCGATGCAGTTTCGGTGCGGCGCTCGTGATGGAGCGCCTTATCTTTTCTCCGTAACAGCTACCTGTCTTGCTAAGTTACAGGAACTTCAGTGAAGTCCACGCGGCGTGACTGTCCGTTCGTCTGTCACCGAGATAGTGATCCCTTCATTCGCGGCTCACCTGATAATATAAGCGCAAGATCCATGGTCGGCACTGTCTGCCAATAGTCGTAAGTGAAGTCTACCCGAACTTCATTGGGTCTGGGTTCACAGGTAAGAGCGCAGAGTTTGCGAATCTGCACGGACCCAGTTCTGCGTCGATTTCGACCCGTATGAATCTGTCTTGCTGTTTGGTACTCTGCTACGGCTCATGCGCTAAACTTGGCCCAAAGGGCGACTCGGCGGCCGTTCAACAAACGAACCTACCTCGCGATGTATGAACACACTCGTAGTACATCTGAAGTCACTCATGTGAAAGAAAAACTGTGAGTTCCATCTCCTTCAACGTAGTAACCTGGGCTCCGAATAGCTGCTGCTGAGTGCAGTCTGAGGCCTTCTGGTCTATAAATTAGTTGAGAGGGGCCATGCAACGACGCGTCGACATCCCCTCGCCAATGGGTGACGCTTTCGAGAGCGCAGACCGTGAGAGTCGCGCGCAGCAGTCTCATGGACGAGACACTGCGCTGCCGCATGACCACGTCAGCTATGTTAGCACCTCCTTTTGTGTAGAAGCAGTTATTCCATAAACGGGGACTCAACAACCAGTGCAGTGCGAGTTCCTGACCAATGATCACGAGCTCCAAGACTAATGACTGAGTTCGCAATAGACATTTCGCGCACTAAAGAACCGATACACTTTTGTTCGCTGGGAATGGGGTGCCTGGGTTTCGCGCGACGCCAACACAATTCTCACCACTTGCTGTCCCTCGCATCGCTTCACCTGCATAGACTCATCAGTGATGCCATTGGCATCCTTCCCAGAGGGGATACTGTGAGCTCTGGAAGAAATTAGCTCTAGGATTCATAGAATCGCCTAACCAGAAGACAGTTAATCTGCTTCCATACTTATGAGATGATGCTGGAGAATACCTTCTGAAAGAAAGAACTTGTCTGCGAGATAATCCATGGATAATAAGCTCCTTGGAAAACAAAAGCATGTACCTCGTGGAAACTTCCAACTAAACGGTTTCATCCTAAGTGCAAAGGATTTTCAACAGTTAAAACTAACAATCTATACATAACAATAACTGGGTGCAACAAGTAATTGGGTTAAGAGAACTGAAGCAGTACATTTGCCTAACGAACAGTACCAACGTCCAATAACTGCAAAGGATGAAGTAAAAGACCCGTAGAAAGCGTGACATGGTTCTACCCATACATGTTAAAGTATGCGAATAACAATAACAACAACAACAACATATCCTCAGGCGCTGAAACAACATATAAAGGTCAGTAGATCACACAGAGTACAAAAATACAAACATTCCACAATATTCGAATGAACTAACAATAAGTGGACGGCAACTTGAAAACATCGAGACGTCACTGAGTTGGGAGCGGCAACGAAGCAACGCGATTGAGTGATCCTTTCTTTCATACTTCGCGGCTCTGGTGACTGCTACCGACCGCGCTCTATCGCTGAAGGTTGGACTGCTGCAACTGCTTCAATTACAAGTCGCGTGCGTCCCAAATGGTGCTATCGAGCGACTCGAGTCGACAAGTATGAACCTTTCCCTCCACAAGCTCAACCTTAGAAAAGCACAAACGACAGAGTGTTTATGTCGCCACATGGTCCCCTTCAGCAATAGTAACGCCGAAATACAAATGCATACGATAGATACAGTCAATATAATTCAAAACTCTCCGCATGAGGCAGGAAGAAGGAAAGGACAAGCAAAAAAGAAAAGAGTACATCTAATCGATAGGCGTTCCCGCTAGTGCTTCTAAGAGTTCAGCACGTCGAGAAGCCGCTTCTGCAGGTAGAGGTACAGTATGGAACCTAGGCCACCAGTCGTACCTCTGAGCCCATATTGTTACAAATAAACCGGGATCGACTAGCTGTACAACAGTATGAAGTAAAACCCAAGCACGTCCTGAGCTTCTATTTGAACCAAAGTCAAGAAATCGAAACAGCACATCGACACATCGTGACAAGACCTCTGCTCTTTTACCGTACCTGGAACAGTGTTTCCAAGATTTCGCTAATGGGAAGATCTATGAGAAAAAATCGCAACATTAACCTCTCTGGACGTTCAATTCGCGGTTGGCACCAATCTAACCAGGCTGGATCGCTTGGAGAAAGGGTTGTATTTTGCACGCCGCAAACCTGCAATAGAAATTATTGGCACATCTCTTCCACTATGGAACAAGAACCATTAAGTCATAATTACAAGCTAATTTCCCTACCTCTTCCACTACGACTTCAACCTCGTGGTCGAAATCGATTGCACGAAGAAACCGTACCATACGTCCAAGTAACTGGGGGCATTTGCTCAGAATTTTTGAAACAGCTTCAGATCTGAAATAACTCACAATTTTTCGCCTTCAGTTCGTCCGTATAGCATCGTTGAACATTTGGACTATAAAAGGACGGACCGCCGAGGTCGTGCCGCGTTAACACTTTGCGAATATGGAGTATGCGTGAATTGGCCCCATTAGCGAGTCGGGATAGTGCTCGACCAAAGGAAGTATTAATCGAGAAACCGCCATTTCAGGAAATGAGTCGATTGACTCCAACAACAAAGTGGGTCGCACATTCTCTTGAACCGCAATATGAATGTGGCCTGCTTCACCAGAAAGTATTATTAGGAAATGAGGGAGCGCATGACTCTCAGCCATTCTTAACTACTTCCACGGGGTCTTCAGACAACTTGATCTCATTCCCTTTGTTCCAGTCAATCTAATACTGTTCTGCTCGGCGCGCTCTCGTCGGCATGGCACTGTAGATCGCACAACTTTTAACTATTTCCGCACCATAAGTGGCTCATTCACCCCGGAATCCCAACCCAGAGTTTAGAATATTTATCGCTGGATCGCCACATGTTCTTTCACACTTTTCATTGCTTGACGGTTGCTGTTCTCCTTCTTCGCTGAAGGGCTTCGCATCAGGAGCAAACAGAGCAGAACAAGTTCAAATAGTCACGCGAACCTTCCAAATAGCACAGAGTCCTAATCTAGCAACCCCTTAGATTTGCGTGGTAGATAGAAGAATAAAAGCCACACTCGCCAAGCACCTTCACTAAACGAAAATTCTAGAACTTCACAGAATTCTTTGCAACAAACAGTAGGACCTACAATTAATTCTCAATGAATTAAACTTGCATTTTATCTTCACATCGGCCTTGTTTAACCCATATCCGGCAGGCTGTCTCCACGAACAACGCTGCGTAACAAGGCATAGCTGAAACAGGGGCCCGACTTGGGTGAAAACATATGAAATTCATTTATGAGAAATGCTTCCTGCGAGAGATGAAGAAAAGATGAAAGATACTACCAACATTCGGCCACTTCGAAGAGTGATTGTGCTGTGTTGAGTATCATTCCTCCGAAGCCAGCACGTCCTCTCCATTCTTCATATTCAGCGATTAGCTTATACGCGTTCCACACTACAATGTTCTGAAATTCGCGAACTTGAAGCAGTCGTGTGTGTTGCAGATGATGGAGTGTGCAAGAGCGGCTGCGTCTAGTGCGGCGCCCACTCGTTCTTCCTTCTTTCGGCAAGACAAGACTGTACCATGTCGTTCATGTCAGCCGCTTTCCATCGATTTTTGGCGCCTATCCGCTCCAGCAACGGGCAGAAAAAGAGTGGGCGGCGCGCCAAACGCAGCCGCATTGATACGCCCCATCATCCGCAGCGAACACGACAGCAACAGACCTGGCAAGCAGTAATAAAAAGTAAGAACTAGCCTCGTAGCTCTTATGGTAGCGATCTACAGAATTTCCCAGCGCCACAACAGCAGAAACTTGGTCCGGATTACCACAGAGTAT